AAGACGGGAAAAATGGGTTTGGGCTTCCAAAATACGGAGATTTTTCTAGGTAGTGTGATTTACCAAAAAATTGGAGTCGGAACACCCAATTCCGACTAAAGGTAGGGTTTCTCAAAAAAAAGCCTCCCCTCCTGTCGGATTAGGCACTTCCGACTAGGAGTATTTTTTTTTTTTTGCCGAATTCATAAACTTTTTGCTTTTAAGTTTTAAAAACTAAAAGTTTTAAATTCTAGGGCTAAATTCTATCCATTCCAAATTTAAAAGGTTTTTTAGATTCCTCACAAATTTTTTAAAATGAAAACTTAGCATTTTGATTTTTTGAGTAACAAAACATTTGATCGTTTATATTGTTTTTTAATCCATCTGTATTGTGCATTTTGTTTTAATTGCAATTTTTGTAATTTTAAGTGCAATTTTGATTTAATCCATTCGTCAAATTAGATACAAATTTGATTTTGTTTTAAGTGCAATTTTGGTACTTTTAATGGAAGTGAACAAAACAAATGTAGTTTTCAATGTAATTTATTAATGAAGAGACAGTACATACAATATTAAATTTAATACGACATCTAACGTTGCGTGCTCGGCGCTGCTCCGTCCCCACCGCCAGTGTTCCAAGGCCCCGTTGTGTCTCCATAGTAAAACGACGAATTCAAAAATGACTCAACATAATCATCCGCTTGTGAGGAGCACTGATAAGAATCATAATACGGCGGTGGTTGATCAAATGAGATACCTTGATGCGTTGAGAATTGAGGGGGTGGTTGATCAAATGAGACACCCTGTGTTGAGAATTGAGGGGGCGATTGTGAGTCCTCACCCCCACCTTCATGTTCATCTGCATCATCCTCTTCGTCACTTCCACCTTCATCTTCATCTTCATAATGGAATATGTCCCGGTGGAGCATCTCTTCATCACCTACGTCCAGGGCCATCCGCCGTAGTCGTTTTGACAGTCCTCATAACTCGTGCGGTCGGCTAAGAGGTGATACACCTCGTGAACGCCTTGCATGCATGCTTCTGCATAAAAATAATATGACACGATATATGTTAATGAATATGGTATGTATTCAAAAACTTACCACAAAAGATAATAAATACGGAGTATTTCATTAGTAATTGGATGCAAAACAAAAAATCCAACAAGTGTATGCGGTGTTTCTGCCATGACATTGACGTAATTATTAATAGGCATAATATCAGAAATGTACGTCCGGATGTACGCATTTAACGAATACACGGCTGGGATGAGGCCGTCTACAGTTATTTCTAAAAACCGACAAACCGCATATGTGTGAACACATGGCAGCTCATTCTGCTTCCAATACCCGCACCCACATTCCGCCTTGTCAGATCGATTGTCACTGGATCATGCGAACTAATAGCTACAGAGTAAATTCCCGTTGTTCGATTGTGAGGGACAATAGTTGTGTGATACCTATGCTGTGACCGCTCAAGAACAGCCTTCCATATGTTCTGTGGATGCAAGAACCCAGCTTGGTGCCACATTATTCCCGCATTTCTTCGGTCGGCAAATAGTTAGACGACTTTATCGAATGTGGCATTTACTAGTGCTGTGATAGGCAATGTGCGACATCCCTTTAAGACATTGTTAAAACTTTCAGAAAGGTTTGTCGTCAAAATGCCATATCTTTTGCCATCGTCATAGCTCAGTGACCGGGCCGGGCCGGTTCTGCCCGGCCCGAGTCCACCCCTATATACGGCTGATGGGCCCGCCTATCCGAGAGCTTTGTGGAACGTCAAATTTTGTGGTGAGGTCGCTGAAACTTCCACGTAAATGTGCAATTCTTCATACTCATTTTTAGCGATCCGGTAAAAATGACGCCATGTCTGCTCATTGTGAATGGGCCATAGTCTAGAAGCAACATATACCAAATTCTTATATTTTGGTAATTTTCCGTAAATTAATTTAATTTCGGAAAATCCCTCACCTCTAACATGACTTAAATGTATACTAGTAGAATCATCTGCCTCACTAATGAATAGTACTGCCCTAGGAGGTATGGAGTACTCTACTTCATCATCTTTTTGAGATGTAGAGCCATTCCAATGAACCATAACAACAGTATTGCCCTCAGTAGACATTTTTATATGTGAATAGAGTGCCTAAACAGAAAATATAATGAATATATTAACAGAGAGATGTGTTTTTGGAGTGTGTTTGATAATTTTGAGAACAAATCAACGGATTTTATAGGAGTTGGTGTGGTTCGAGTTTAGTAAAAAACTAGACCACAAATTAAACACGTAAAATACTTCACAACCATAAAAATTCAGTCGGATTCACTAATTCCGACTAATTCCGACTATTAAGGTTGGTAAAATATACGGCGAAAAGCAATCAAACATGTATCCGAATTGAAAAAATTAAAAATAATCAAAATGCTATCTATCTATCTGTCAGATTTTCCAATTCCGACTAGGTAGGTGTGTATTTAATTAATCCCCTCCTCTAGTCGGATTTCCCAATTCTGACAAGGGTATAACCCTAATTCGGAAGCCCTCCTCCCCTAGTCGGATTTGGCAAATCCGACTCACGTAATATGGTAACCTAATTGGAACTCCCGTATTTTGGGTTGTCAGACGGGAGTTTCCCATATTTTGGTAATTTCCTCCCCTTGATATACAAGGGGAGTCGAATTGGAAGCTAAGTATTGAGGCTGAATTGATTTGGAAACAAATAGAAAGATAAAAGAGCCCTCTCCCATATTAAATACTACTCTGTACGTACTACGTAAATAATACTCCCTCCGTTTCTAAAAGAACCTCACACTTTCCTTTTTTGGATGTGCCAAAATAAAAGTCACACTTCCCTTATTTCCTTATTTGGCAAAGAAATCTACATCCAAATAGTGTCAAACAGTGCCAAACAGTACCAAACAGTGTCCAAACAGTGCCAAACAATGTCTAAACAGTGCCAAACAGTGTCTAAACAGTGTTTTCTACAGTAAAGTCAATTTATTTCCTTAATAATCGTGAAGTCAAACCGTGACTTTCTTTTAGAAACGGAGGGAGTACTACGTAGTAATAGTAATATTATTAGTAGCAAATATACCATTTTTATAAAACAAATTAGTTTTATTTTTATTAAATTAAATTAATAATTTAGAGACTGAATCTTCCACTCCAGTTTCAGTTTTGAACCGATTAAGCCGGTCCAACCGTCCAAGTACAGATCAAAACCAGAATAAATCTGATCCAATTTTTTATTGTTATTTTATTGCAAACCCAGTTCCGGTCTAAGTGTTAAGGTTTCAAAACTCTGTATTAGGGACAATTGTTCTTTTTACACCAAATCTAATTCTATATTTGAAAAAAATCTTCTCCCTATCAAATATCTTTTAGGATTAGGATGAGTAATGTTAAAAACTAATTTGACACATCAAATCCAAGATTATTCCTTGTTAAAAACAATAGACGGACAATTAATGTTAAATGTGGAGATTCTAATAGAGCATTTCTAATACGTAGTATCCTGTATATTATGGCTGGACTCAGGCCGGTTCGGGCCCGGCCGGGCCTCGGTTCATGAAAGGGGAGGCCCGGAACCGGCCCGGGTAACCCCCGGGTCCGGGCCGGGCCGGGCTATAATCTATATATATATATATATATATATATATATATATATATATATATATATATATATATATATATATATATATATTTTTGGCTTTTCCTAATTAACCCCCAACCCTTCGCCCTCACCCCAAACCTCCTCAAATGACCCAAAATACCCAGCCCAACCCAAAAACTTAAAAAAATTCAAAAAAAAATAGAAAAAAAAATTGGCCCGGACCGGGCCTGAACCGGCGGGGCCGGTTCACCTTTTGAGGGGCCCGAGCCCGGACCGGAACCCCAGCGGGTCGGGCCTACCCGGACCGGTCCCTGGCCGGGCCGGCGGTTCGGGCCGGTTCAAACAGTAACCGGTTCGGGCCGGTTCCGGGGCGGGCCGCCCGGCCCGAGTCCAGGCCTACTGTATATGTTTATAGGTTTTCTAATCTTTTAGTGTTTCCAAATCTTGTTATACATATTTGTGCATCAAAGACAACATACTCCAGAAGTCCGTATTAGAGGAAATAACCCCTGAACAAGAATAAAACATTGGTATTTTTCAAGGAAGACTACTATTATTTCCATTTTACCCTAACAGTGATATGTATTTTCAGGAATAAATATTTCCCTCTTAACTTATTTCGTTACGTTGTTCACATAGTTCAAATAGCATTTGATATTGCAATAATGAAAGTGGGACGCCGCTGCCTGCAGGATGACATGCATTATGGTCTGAAGATCTCAAAATTTGATCGATAATAAGAGTTCAAGATGGTTAGTAGTGCTTTTGTTCGTCCATACATAGTGCATACATTGATAAATACGAGAAAGAAAAACTAAATCCTACATAGTATAGCCTAGCCCAGGGTACTAAGTAGCCCTTAAATCCTACATCAGTTACCATAAAACCATACATGTTGATTTAGGCATATGTTGCCACACCTGAATAATGATATCCGCAGGGCCGGCCCAGGGCATGGCTGCCCAGTGCGACCGCACAGGGCCAGGATTTTTGAAGGGCCCAAAAAAAAAATTAGTATTACGTCCCAGTCCAAAATCCCCTACGTAAATCTAAATATGCTTGAAGAATGTCCTTTTTTAAATAAATTGTAAGTTATTAATGACTATTTTTATCATTACATTTATTCGTAAGTTGTATTTTAAGACAATTTGCTTGTGTTGCAACTTGAAAAAAGGCCCAAATTTTATTCTCGCACAGGGTCTACATTTCTTCGGGACCGGCCCTGGATATCCGTCAATGAAAAACTAACTACTCAGTCATCAGTTCAGTTTGTGCTATCAGAACAACAACCCATGATCGTTCATTACCCTCAGTTGCCTACTACTATCAACCGTTAACAATTACTCCACTCAGTTACCGATTACTATGACCAACCACAGAGAAAGATTTGACTCTGCTACATGATTTACAATGCTAACTAATCCATCCACGTGCTACGTATCATTATGCAAAACACAGATAGTTAACACACCGACTGAATGTTACACCTTAATACAAGGCAAAACAAACGATAACAAGCTGATGAAAGCAATCACTATACTACGATGTTTAATGTCAAAACAAGACTACAATAATTAATGTAACTTTTTAGGCACTCTAATACCAGCCTATCCTATTCATAGTTAAAAACATAATTACATAACATATCCCAATACGGATAAATATCTTTTTTCAGATTAAGCCCCAAATTCAATAAACAAAAATAATGCTTAATTACTCAAGGCATCAAACATCCTTCTCATTAGTCCGCTGCCTTTTCGGGTGCGAGTATCTCCCCACATATGTAGTAAAGTAAGGGGCATGGTCCTTCTCCCACCGATCATTGAACAAAGTAGCCTAATGTATGAATGTTATTAGAGATTATGTGTGAGATATATAAACTCGGTATTAATTAAAGATAAAGAGTGGGATATTTTGGTTCAACAAACCTTCTTCCATAATATTTCAAGTGTATCTTTCAACCCACTCAAGGTATGGTCTTTTCTTGTTAGGGAAGCACTCTGATGAAAACAACTTACTAAAGTTAGGTCCCGCAAGATGGCATCAAACAAGATACTCAAAAGATGTATTATGTATGTATGTATGTATACAAAGTACCAACCTGATATCGTAGCCAAAACTCAAACCTGACTGTGATCATATCAGAAAGAGTAGCCATGATGTCATTATAGGCTATTCCCAACCACATACTACGCTTATCGAATGGGGATATCTCTTTAACCAGCTTTAGAGCTTCGAGATACATTTCATTAAGCGGCAACGTCTTTACCAACTACAATTGAGTTGATATGCCAAGTAATTAGCCCAAACAGAGAAAGAACATAAGCAAACAAAAGGATACACTACAGGCATATAGTTACCCGAATTTGTTTCTCTATGTGCATCTGGGAAGTTATAGGATCCAACTGCTTTTTTTCGGCTTGAGCACATTTCATATCCTGTTCATGCGCTTTTTCAATCTGTTCTAGCTGATTAAAAATGTGATCGGTGACATCCTTAAATTTGGTATTCTCGTAATGGTAGCGCTGAAAAAGAAGTTACTTTGATATTTCAGTAATAATAATACTGAAAAAACTAAAGATTCAAAAGGAAAAAAAACTTTTGGCAGATTATTATCTAAAAGCCAAGGGTATTCATCCAGGTTAGATTGAAGTTCTGAGAGAAATAGGAATGCAGTAAAACAAGGATACAACATCGAAGTCCTTGTTCCAAAAGAATTTGGGGTCAGCTAACATGAATTCTACCCATGAAATTGGAGATAGAGAACAGACTGTAATCTAATTTTATTTTACCATTCGACTTATCCGTAGTGCCAGGGGAAGAATTTCATCCTTTTCCTTGAGATGATTACCAGCCTCACTTGCATCAGCTGGCTTACTAATCAAATGATCGAAAAGCAAATTTACTGTCAGGTCATCAGAGTATTCCATTTCCTCTTCCAATTTATCCTTTTGAAGTATGGATGTGATTCCTCCCTTCTGTAACAAGAAATAAGAAAACCATATTGACTAAGTTGGCAACTTAAAACAAAATTACTACTCCGGTATCATTAATGTGCCTAAATAAAAACAAGTATTGTACCTTGGAAACTATATTGAGGTTGTGGTGTAGCAATCTCAACATCCTTATAGCCCACCTGGAGGAGCTAGCAAGATAGCCACAATGAACAAATTTTTGCTGCAGGAGATCTTGGCAGTCCTGTTCAGAAATAACAAAACGGGAAGAAAAAAAAGTTAATAACGGGCTAACCTTGTGTGTGCAGATGTTGCATATATATTTTTTAGTTTCTATCTACCGTGACTAACTCCCTTTTATCGTGAATCTCTTCTTCAAATTTCTTAAGCATCTTGATTTTCTGATGGCAGTCTTCACAGGGACAAACACTACCAAAATCACATTCTTGTGGAAATATAACATTAGTTTCTATTTCCTCTTGTAGATCTAGAAAATCTTCATCCGAGTCTTCTTCCATCGTGCTTAAACTTATACTTCGTACTTGGTAATAGCGGAGAGGAGGTGGATAAATGAACCTCGGTTACATAGCAAAAACGACGGGAAGGACGTAGATAGACAGAACCGGAATGCAGATACTCGATAACGTGTAAGGGAGGGGGGCAACTTTAGGGGCGGCCCTGGGCCCAAAATCTTGTTAAAATAATTATAGGCCCTATACGTAGTGTTGGTATTAACCAGATTAACCAAATTATTAACTAAAATTTATACAAAAATGCTATAGTCACCCCAAAATGTACCCCATTTGTAACCCATATAAAAACTCTCCATTTTTACCATTTTTTACCCCCTTCCAAAAATATCTCAATCTCACCTTCTCCCCTCTACCCACTCTCACTCTCACGTTTCTGCCAAATTTTGGAGCCCCTTCGACGCAGCTACAGTGCACAACACCAACCATCTACTTCCTTCCTTCATCTTCTTCAATGGAGTTCATGAGGAATGATATATTTGATTTTAGTGATGAGTTGCTTTTGGATGGCTTGACTTGGGGAGACCATGGTGACAAGGATGATGATGAAGGTGAAAGTGGTGACAGAGGTAATATGCCATCCAAGGAAGAAGAGGACAAATGTTTGATCATTGAAGTCTGGAAAGGCTTGAGATGGTCTTTTTTCCTCATTTTTTGGTATTTTTTTCGTCCAACTCCACATGAAAAGGGGTTGGCTGTCTAACAGACAAATTTGAAGTGCAGCATCTGTCTAGCTGAGCATGGTTTCCTAGTTGGTAGAGTCTTACATAAGATGTATGTCTGACAAATTAATTTGTTTTAGTACATAGAACAGCTGCCTGTATGCACATCTTCTTATTTTACAAATATATTTTATAGTACGTTTGATGACTTGAGCATATCTTCTTTTCTTGATTTTATGGTGTGTTTTCAAAATGAAAATAGTTTTCTGTCTAACAGACCACTTGTAATTGCAGTGTTTGTATACTCCGGATTTGTAATTGGTATTTGATTGTCTGTCATTTGCTTTTAATTTGTCTGTATTTGTTTTGAGTTGTCTGTAATGACTTGTCTGTCATGTTGTTGTGAGGAGTCTGTAAGAGTCGTGAAGTTGTCTGTCATTTTAAAAATACATGTCTGTAATTCATATTTAATTGTCTGTCATTTGATTGTGAGTTGTATATAAGTTGTGGTGTGTATTTTTTGAGATGTAATTAGTTGTCATCAAAGTTGTCCTTGGAAGTAGATTGGTTAAAGTTTATAACTTTATGAAGACTTGTAGGAGTCCGTCTTATATTAGGAATTTGTGTGTGCGGTTGCCTTACCTATTTTGTGCAAGTGGTGTCCAACCATGGGAAGGTGAAGTAGTACAGGGTGTGCCTCAATAGCAAGCATGGTAGTAAACTCAATATTTTTTGCATTACATGTATTGTCTGTGTTAAGTGTTCTAAATGTTTGTCTCTGTTTTATTTGTCTGTCTACAGATCCGGAGAATGTAACGTCATGGTCTTATCGTTTGCAAAGCAATTGCTACCGGGGAAGTTATTGGTTCTTGATTATGACTACGGAAACATGTCGAACAAAAGACTTGAATTTGCTATTGGGATTGGCGCTTGAAGGATGCTGAAGCATAGAGTGTTGGGGAAATATGCCGGTTTTGAACTTGTGATTTTTTGAACATGTATTTTTTTAATATTACAGTTGGGAAAATGTGTCGAATATTGTACAATGTTACATGTTCAATGTTGTACAATGTTGAAAATTGGATTGAGTTTTTTTGAACATGTGTAAGTTTTTGCAAACATTACATGTACAATTATTCACTTATGTATGTTGATCTTTTGTTTGTCTGGATATTTGCGGTATTGTCTGTATGTGTAAAGTTATTGTCTCTCTGCGTGACAATAATGTCTTTCTAGTTATCTATGTTGTCTGTCAAGATATATGTATTGTCTGTCTATTTTACGAAACATATGCCAGAAATGGTAATTCACAAGGTAATGTTTGTATGTGTAACCTTAGTGTCTGCATGTGTATACTTAATGCCAACAATAGTATTCACAACAAACTAATGTTTCAATCCAACTCCTTATATCATTCACACATTGCGTTAATACGGGAAATTAATGTTTAGTTTTATAAAATGGTTAATTCAAAACTACATACAATTGTCTAATAGTTGCTGTTCAAAGGTTGTGATTCACTTATCATTTGTACATTAACAAATACAATCATTTTACACTTCACTTTTACATAACCACATTAAACTCCTCAGCGCTTCGTTCAACTGCTCCTCCAATTGGCGTCTTCTTAAACTCCTCCAATTGCTTCTTCCTCAACGTTGACTGCACCAAGCTTCCAGCTTTTCTGAAAAATGAGCAAATGGGGTACTGGGCTCGAAACTGCTTGGACACGGGAATTTGTAGTTCAAATGCCATGTATCATTTGAAAGACGCATCACCATGAGCAAATGGGGTACTGGGCTCGAAACTGCATACCACAACTTTCAAACAAATCAGTCACATTACAAAGACGCATTTCACATCACAGACTACTCAAAAGGCTTGCAAGACAACTAATTTCACATGACAGACAACTACAAACCAATTTTAAACCATTCAAAATAAATTGGCAGACAACTCCAAACCAATTACATAATATTTAAAACACCATGTCAGACATCACAATATCATCCCATATCAGTCTAAATATACACAATTACTTTACAAGAATGTTAGAGAACTTCAAACCACAAACAACTATTTCACCAGACAGACAAGTACAAACCAATTTCAAACAAGACTTTTCACATTACAAACAACTCAGATGGAATGCCAGACAACGCTTTTCACATCACAGACAACTACAAATCAATTTTAAACAATTCATTTTACATTACAGACAATTCAAATGGAATGTCAGACAACGCTTTTTACATCACAGACAACTACAAATCAATTTTAAACAATTCATTTCACATTACAAACAATTCAAATGGAATGCCAGACAACGCTTTTCACATCACAGACAACTACAAATCAATTTTAAACAATATATTTCACATTACAGACAATTCAAATGGAATGCCAGACAACTCTTTTCACATCACAGACAACTACAAACCAATTTTCAAACATCCGAAGACAAACATCACATACATAAAGACAGACAACTACCGTATAATCACAAAAGTTGTTCACACAAACTACAATTCAATCCAACAAAAACACAAAAAAAACATACCTTTCAGCCATTTCCGATAAGCTTGTCCGCACCATAGAGCTTGAAACCTTCACAACAAACTAATTTTAAACCTTCACAACCTTATCCACACCTGCAAACAGGGACGGTAGACTCGACCGGTGGTTGTGAGGACGAGGTTCGTCGCTTGTGAGGACACGACTATTGTTTCGTGTGGGTGGTGACGAAACGTGCTTCACATAACAGATGGGTTAGGAGCCGGTTGAAACGAGAACAGAGTGAGCTCGTCCCGGCTTTTATTTTGAGCTGGTCTGCGACGCGAGGAGTGAGGTTGAAGATGACAGGGTTGGGGAGGTATGCGGTGCGAGGGGTGAGCCGGTGAGGTCGGTGATGGGTTTGATTTTTTGAAACTTCATGGTGAAGGGGAAGGCTGGAAAAGAGGGAGATTTGGAAAGGGAGATAAGGGGGAAGGAAGATGAGGGAGTGGAGGTAAATTTTTGGAAGGGTTTTTATATGGGGTATAAATGAGGTACATTTTGGGGTGACTATAGCATTTTTGAAATTTATATCATTTTTTTAAATAAGAGAGCGACTTTTATATTAATATTATGAAATCATGCATGACAGTTACAACATATAAAATCGTAAACTCTAGAAATAGACATATAATCAATCACTTCATATAAAGCAACCTGACTCACTAGATACGAAACGGACAATTTTAAGCCTAAAACGACCAGAATTGAAACATTGTATATCAAAAGTACTTCCAAATCCAAATATCCAAATCAAATTTACTCAAACTAAAATAAAAAATACTAATTAAAGAAGAAATTATGCTGGAATAAAATCATTCAACAAAATTCTTCGTGGCACGGAGGTTGTTTCGGAGCAAGTTGAGCTATTGCAATATGAGATTTGACCAACCGCCTCCAAAGGAATAATCTTGTCTGTCAGTATTTTAGACAGTGTTGTTCCGGGATCAGAGCATCGCGACCTTGTCATTTTTTTACTCCCCCAAGGCACCTGACTCAAACACCAGACCATTGCTCTGCTCGTCCTCAACTGACATCCTTTCATAAGCTTGATTTAAGCTCTTCATTAATGGTCAACAAAATGAACATCATATCAAGACAGAGAAAAAGAAGCAGTGCAACACATGATCACAAGCCCAAACACGTTTGGGGTGGCAGCCGAAGTGTAGAAGGGAAATCAGTTGGTTGGATTTCTTCGTGTAGAGTATGATTTACTTCTATCCACTTGGCTCCTCTCATTTTACCACACTTGGTAATCCCACACTCCTTCTGTATTTATAGACTTCATCATTGCCGCATCTCCACCGTTAGCTTAGGAAATGAATCTTGACCGTAGCTTGATCTACTTGCTTTGTTCCACTTGATTGAAGAAGCATGGTTTGTCTTTGTTCAGCTCAACTTGTTAACACATGTCAATGCAAGATAAAAGATATTTTATCTTTATTATCACGCCTAGAAACTAGTATAAAGCTGAGTGATATTTCAATGTTTCCTTACAAAATAACGAACACTTGCTTTTAGTAAAATAAATTTATAAGAAATTTATAATGTGATTAAAAATCTCTTCTAAATTTACTTTTCATCAATTTGTTATTTTGACTGCAAGTTGGTCTTTTGATTAAGTGTTTTATGCGAAGAGAAGAGAGAGTTGGATTTCGGATGCCTTGACTAGATTTCCGGATTTCAGCTGGCTGCCAAGAAATCAGCTGGCTGTCGAAATCTGGGGTTTTCCAGTAGGCTTCCTTTTCAATGAATACCAGTTCACTCTTTTCGTACCTTTTCTTTTTGATCATTTTGTTTTTGTTTTATGGTACGTTTAACTTCTCTTTTTAGTACTCTTTGCTTTTAATGAGTACTTTATCACTAATATGGAGCACATTACATCTTAAACAAGGTAGAACAAAACTAGTAAACTAGTCTAATA